CCACAACAATGTCCTACATGCGTCGAGCTGAATACCCAGAGCTCATAATAATGCCTCCCATGAATCCAACTGGAGGCCCAGAGCCCATGACAACGTCTCATGCAGACCTGTTTCATGGATCTTCTGGAAAGGCCCAAAGGTCAGTGGTGGAATCTACAAAGTCTGTGCCAGCAGGATGAAGGACCTGTGCTAGCAGGCTGAGGGATCTGCACTGGAGCCAGGAAGTGATGCTCAGAAGAACCAGAGCTCCCCCAAAAGGTACCACAGCCATTGTCAGCAACAGTGAGGTCCCTAGCTCCTCCGATGATCAGGATGCCAGAGTTCCCATCAGGGAAGCCAACGCAGCAAGCTTTTCCTGGAGGCCGGCAGTACACCATCTTCCCCTCCAGAACTAGGAAGCGATGCTCAAAGTGAGGACCAGAGCTCTCCAAAATGAACTGAAGCCATTCTCAGTGCCAGCGAGGTCCTGAGCTCCTCGGAGGATGAAAACAGCCAAGTTTATCAGGAAAGCCAGCTCCCTACAGTCTCTCTCAGCTTCCAACAGCTTGTTCCTTCTTCTCCAGATCTGCCTCTTATACTGAAGGCAACAGTCCTCAGGTGGGCCTCCCACACCCAGCACCACACTCACTCAGTTCAGCTGGGGGTTATAAGTTGACCACCAGTTATCAATCCACTACAATGCCACAGAACCTTCGCTTCTGTCTCCTTAGCCAGACTGGTTAGATGGCCAGTCAGCAGCAAGGTGGGCCGGGAGGTATGTTCTTTACAAAGTGACCATGTGCATGACAAAATGGGGGATTCTGTTGTCAAGAAAATGAGGTTCAAGCCAGGTGTGGTGGTGCACAGCTATAAACAGAGGCAGGAAGATCATGAGTTCAAGGCCAGCCTGGGCTACACAGCAACTTCAAGTCTAGCTTGGATAACACAGCAACATGGCAAGACCCCGCCTGACAAAAATAAAACAAAACCACACAAGCAAAATAACAACAACAAAAACAAACAGAAAATCAAAAAAGGAAAATGAGAGTAGAACTAGGGACATAGCTCAATATAGAATTTTGCTTGCCGAGATGCTGGAAGCTCTGGGTTTAATCCCTAGCACTGAAAGAGGGAAGAAAAAGAGGAGGAGGAGGAGAAGTGAAGTGGAGGAGGAGAAAGGAGAGAAGAAAGAAAGAAGGAATGGGGGAAGGAAGGGGACATTAGGTGTGGGCCACCACACTGTCCAGCAGCCGGGAGCCCATGGTCTCCTCCTGCTAGCTTGGCACAGCTGAGGCGGAAAGCACAATTTCTCGGTGCTTTCTTCTCCCTTAGTTTTGTTCCTTTTGCCCCCTCTTCCCTCTGTGGGCAGGGGCTGGCTGGAAACACCAGGGGCCAGGAACAGACAGCAAAGACCCAAACACAAGCCACCCAACTAGAACAGGTGGAGTTGGGGGCTCCTGAGCAAAGGAGCAGGTGGCCTGTGGGGCCAAACGCAAGGTGGGGTTTGAAACTGAAAGCAGCAGGGACAAAGAGCCCAGCACTTCATCTGGCTGGCGGCCAAGTACTCGATGCCACTCCATACCCAGTTTCCACCTGTTCTGCCTGCCCTGTTCCTCTGTGGTGCACTCTGTCATCCTACAGAGCTCAGGTCAGGGTCACCTCCTCTAAGAAGCCCTCAGTGTCCAGCCAGGACACTTGTGTAGCAGTGAGAGAAGGGGCTGCCCATGGGTGCTGTCAGTACGGAGTTCGGGTTGGGGTGCATCTGGGGCAGGGTAGTGGGAAGGTGCAGTTGCAAGGTGGGACCCCAAATGTTCCTTACATGAGCAGAGCTGTGACAGCTGGAGCCACAAAGCTAGTGTGGAGCTCCTGGCCACCAGGCTGCTCGGATACTGGAGAGGGGCTGGGTCCCCAGCGAGGAAAATGATGCTGCCTGAGGTTGTGGCCCTAGAGGAAGTCCCTCTGGGTGGGGGCAGGCAGAGTAATTCCTGGAAGGAAGCTCACACCTCAGGAATCTGGTAAAGAAACACTCCAGTGGGCTTGTCCTGGGAGCTTCCCCCTTTATATCCCTAGGCCCAGGCAGGCAGTGGGGAGCACAGCGCCTGAGCTGGGGGTGCTGAGCCCCTGCAGCTGGGGTAGGGCGCAGCTCAGGCCATGGACGGGATTGGTAAGACTCCGTTCTCTCTCAGCCCCTGAGTTCTCACCACACCATGACACAAAAAGCCCTCTTTCCTTGGGTGTGGACCTGAGGCTCAGAGTCAGGTCCCCAGTAAGGCCCCAGCACACCCCAAGGCCCCCTCTGTTGCACCCTGTGAGGTTCCATTTGCCCGCCTATGGCACGTGTGTGTCTGTGCATCTGTTCCAAGCTCTGGGTCAGAGCCAGACTTGGGCAGGAGTTGCGGGTGGGGCTGTTGATGGGGAGACTGGAAGTTCTCTCCACAGCCCCTCAGCACTAAGAGGCTTAGGTGGGGGGTGGCATGCTCTAAAACAGACTTTACTTTCTGTCCTAAAGCTGCCTGCCAAGGGCCGGAGATATAGCTCAGAGGCACAAGCACCTGCCTGGCAAGCGCAAGGTCCTGAGTTCGATTCCTGGCACCAAAAAAAAAAAAGAAAGAAAGAAACTAAAGCTGCCTGCTGCTCTACCCTATTGTGGGCCCCCGCCTCCCAACCACTCCCTGGAAGGCCCTCCTGGTGGTGCCAAGAGCCAGGTGTGCTCTGAGCAGACACAGCACCCACAGCAGGGCCCGCGAACGAAGGCTCCTGAAGCAGCCAGGGCTGGAAGCTCAGAAGGTGGGCTGCGCAGAGCAGGCCAGGAGAGGACCTGGAGCTCAGGGCTGGGGAGGGAGCTTGAGGGCTCAGCCAGGGGGGAGACCATGCTTTGGGTCATTTGGGTCTGCTCCTGTAGGTCCTGGGGAGACCGGGAGACCGGGAGAGTGTGGTGGTGCTGAAGTCGAGCGAGCGCCAGATTTACACCTCTGAAAGGCTCCTCTGGTTGCAGGCTAGAGATGGACGAGGGCAGGGCTGGGATTGAGAGCACTGGCTGGGATGGGAAGAGCTGGGCAGAGGCCCAGGACGGGAGATCTGGCCTGGGGAGCAGCTGCTCCACCAAGCCTTCCTCGTCCGCCCTCCACTGGGGAGAAGCAGGAAGCTGGTGAGGTCAGTGGGTGGGTCCAGCATGGTGCTGGACAGGAGCGGGAGGAAGGCAAAAGGACACAGCAGGGTGAGGGGCCAGGGCTCTGCAGGACCCCTGTTCATCATCCTGTGCCCAGAGTTTCTATGGCACCAATGGACTCCGTCAAAGATTCCCTGGGGGTATCTGCCGTCCTTCGCTGTGTCAGACTGGAAGCTGCCCAAGGGTGGGGCCTGTGGCTCCCAACTCAGACAGAAGGGGCCTGAAGGGGGTGCCAAGTACGGGGTGGGGACATCCTAAAGCCTTCATTCCTGCTGCTTCGGCCCCAGAGATGAACCAGTGGGGGGGTGGATGGAGGGAGTGGAAGGGGAAGAGATAAACAAGAGGCAAGCCCGTGTGAGGGGTCAGAGCTGCCCTATGTCTCATATCCACACCGCGCCCTCCCTGGCTTGGCTTAGCCCCTAAGGAGGTGGAGGCCAGGGATCCCTGTCACGTATGCACAGACAAGTGCAAACACATTCACAGACACAGATACAAGACACAGCGACACACATATAACACAAAGACAGACATGCCACCAGGGGCAGCCTGTGGAGATCATTAATTGGATGCTTTATTGGCTCCCAACAAGGTACCTACAGCCGAAAGTGCCAGTACAGCACGTACCCCAGCCACGACCTGGTTGAGAAGACCCTCTGGGGTGGTGTCCCTGAGAATAAGGGCAGCAAGCCTAGGGGAGATGACATTATATTTAGCAGAGAAGAAGGGAAAACAGCCCAAGAGGGAAAAAGGCCCCTACAAATGTGGAGCTGAGGGCCTGTAATCCCAGCACTAAGGAAGCTGAGGCAGGAAGATTGCCTCAAATTCGAGGCCAGCCTGGATTACACAGTGAGACCTTGTCTCCAAAAAAAACCCAAAATAAGTAGGGCAAATGTGGTTCCCTGGTAGTGCAAGGGCCTTCTCTAGGGTAGCAGACACAGAGATAAGAACTGAGAAACAGGCCCCGCATGGTGGCCTACATGTGTAATCCTAGCCCTCAAAAGGCTAATTCAAGGGATCACTGTAAATTTGAGGCCAATCTGGGCTACAGAGTGAGTTCAACACAGCCTGAACTACATAGTGAGACCCTGTCACACACAAAAAAAACAAAAACAAAAACAAAAAAACCTGAGAAGTAGATGGGGCCTCTACGGGGGTACAGGGCGCAGAAGCAGAAGGGGCCAAGGAGGGCGGACAGGGTAAGTTAGTTGGGTAGGAAGCTCCAGGAGGGCCTGGCAGAATCAGCCTCCACTCCGCACACCCCATATTTGGAGGCCATGTCTTGGGATCCCCAAGGGAGCCTGGGTTAGGAGCAGAAGACGGCTGGCAGCCCCACGTGAAAGAGGCTGCGTGCTCCTTGTCGCAGAGGCAGGCGCGGCTCTGACCGGCCAGGAGTGGGGCCCAGCCTGGAAGAAGGGAACCTGGTCAAGGACAGGCCACGTCCCGGTCTGCGCCGGCCGCAAGGCTGCCTCACCTCCCGACCTTCGGTCCCCAGCGGGGGAAGTCGGGGGAAGAGGCTGGGGACAAGGCTGCGAGCCTGGAGGGGCTGCGGCAGGTCGCAGGTGGGCCGCCCAGGCTGAGCCCCAAGGTGGGCCGTAGGAAGGAAGGGGCGGCGGGGGAGCGGCCGGAGGCCGGCGAGGGTCTGGAATTCCTCCGCCGCTCCTCCCCACCCTTCCTCCCCAGCCCTCTGCTTTCCCGACCCTGGCTGGCGCGGGAGGGGCGCTGAGGCCGGGCCCCGCTGGGCCCCCAGGAGGCGTGCAAGCCCCGCCTCCCCTCCCGCACATCTGGGCCGGGCGCGCGGCCATCCGCCGGGGAGGGAGAAGGGGAGGGAGGGGGAGGGGCTGCGGGCGGGGCCGGCTAGCGGGGTGGGGGGAGGCGCACGTCCAGGGCCGCGGGTTGCGGGCTGCTGACCGGGATCCAGGCAACCGGACGGGTCGAGCTGTCTAAAGGCAGAGGTGAGCTCTGGAGGTGAGAGGGGCGCCGAGGTGGGCCATCACTGCCATCGGCTGAGCTCCCCGCCAGATCTGCAAACCCCGCTCTCCAGTGAGTTTGCAGGGGGAAGGCAGCTGTGGCAGTGCTTGGGCTCCTACACGGGCTTTGGGACCCCACACGCGCTGCGCGGAGCTCAGGTTGGTGGCTGGCTGGCTGGCGGGAGAGCAGTGTGGGCTGGGCTCTGGCCTGGAGAAGCTAGCTGTGAGGACCGGTGCCTAGGCCTGAGGTGGAGACCGGGGGCTTGAATGCAGGGGCGTGCTGGAAGGTGGCTCCAAGGCCCCAGACCCTATGGTCCGGGATGGGAGAGAGTGGCCTGGGTGGCTATGGTGCCAGGGACCCAGGTTTCTCTCCATGAGGCCAGCTTGGGGGGTTCATGTTGGGTGGGGTCTGGGCTGCCACAGGGAGCAAACTTTTTGAGGAGAGCTGGGAGGGAGGCAAGGCACACTGACCCAGGACCCAGGGACAGCAGATGGCCTAGGAGCCAGGGTGGGCAGGGAGGTCGCAGAGGTCTGTGGCAGAGGCGAAAGGGCCTCACCACCCTGTGGGACAGAGGTTGTTTGTGAACTGACTGCTGGTGGGGAAGACCCAAGGGCGTGGGGCAGGATGTATGGAAAGCAAAGTTGAGGACAGGGAAGGACCATGGGTGGCATTTTCTGTCATCTCTGCACTAGCACAGGAAGACATTCCCCTGCTGTCCTCTCTACAAGGTGGGGCAGCCCTTTGGGTGCCGTTTCTGATCTGGCCCTTGGGTCCCAGTTGTTGGCCCAATCTGTTGTTCTTTCCTGGGAAGAAATGTTTGTGGTCTTACTTAGCCAGCTTATAGTCCTGTTCATCAGAGGCCTGGCAGGGTGCTGCAGGCAGCGGTGGACCAGAGAGGCAGGGTCCGAGGCAGAAGGTGAACTATAATGATCCAGGTGGACTCTTTGTCCCCACTGGCATCAGGCGAAGCCCTGAAATCCAGCACCACCACACATGTGCAGAGCCAGGTGCCCAGCCTCAACAATTCTGTGAGAGATCCTCAGAGAATTCTGTCAGGCAAAAGTCCTAGGCTATTGTGAACCCGGGGAGAGCACTGACAAGTCTTTGGCTGCGAGTGGCCTAGTTGGCCACACCTTCTCCTGGTCCCCTGTGCCTTGTGGATAGAAGTCAAGGCCAAGGGTCAGATGAATCTGAAGACTAGAGGTCAGTTTGAAGCCAAGGGTTAGGGGTCAGTCCACAGGCGGGATTAAGGGGCTGCCTGTGGGTAGGGTTGGGGTCAGGATGGAGGCACAGTTTGGCAAGCTCCTGCAGCCAGGAAATGGAGTTGCTTTCCGTGTAAATCAAGCCCATAGGCATCAGCATTCTGAAACTAATGGACCTCTAGGTGCACATCCGCCTCCCCCATTTCCAGCTGTGGACCCTGCCCAGACCGAGATTTGGGGAGTGAGGTTGTCCTGAGCCCCATGGGCAGCACTGTCCTTCAGTGGGTTTTTGTTTTGTTTGTTTGTTTTTTGAGACAGGATCTTGCTATGCAGTTCAGGCTGGCCTTGGACTCACTGTGTAGCCCAGGCTGGCCTCAAACTTGCAGTGATCCTTCTGGCTCAGCCTCCCGACTGCTGGGATTACAGGTGTGCCCCACTATGTTTGGCTTCTGCTTCAGTGGTTTTGAGTGTGGTACACGCTGGGGTGAGCAGGGTCCCATGGGTGTGTGGGTATGCTTGCTTCACTGTCACCCTCTTCTACCTCCACCTCTCCAGGAATCAGTGAGAAATTCCTTCTGTAACACAAATTGATTCCAACTTCTGAAAGAACTCGAGATGTGTACAATAAAATCCTCCATAAGACTGAAAACTCCTAACGGGCAAAAATTCAGAATCAATATCATGAAAGAAAAAACACTGCTCACCTTGCCTTTATCAATGCCTTCTGCATCTGGAGTTGATACTCTCATGTCCCCGGTGGCACCCATTTTATAGGAAGAGGCATTGAGGTGTGGAGAGGTAACATGACACACTCATACTGAGGTCCTAATAAGTCCTTGACATCCCAGAGACCCCCTGTACAGGCCTCCTTGGATCACACTCTCAGGAGCTAAGGTGACAAGCTGCAGAGAGCTGGGGCGACTGCAGGCACATAGCTGGGATGAGGAATCCAATGATGGCTTAGTTTTCTTTACCTGGCAGTGCTAGGTTGTTTCTCTTGCAGGTCCAGTAGCCTTGGCCCTTAAAGATCTATTCATGCTTTCATTTATTCACTCAACAAACTGGTTTCCGCACTTAGCACAGAGGCTAGCACAAAAGAAATGTCCAGTCCTTGTGTGGTAGGGAATTAAGACATACAAATAGAGCTGCCATCCCCTTCCTACCGGCCTGGATCAGTGGTATGCTGGTAAATGTTTTATAAGCAACTGTCTGAGAGGGAAAAAACATGGATTTTAGCCTTGTCAAGTTCCGTGGTGTAAATACTCCCACTGTGGCTGGTTTCAAGCTACCAACAGTGGTCAGTGAATGTAGAACTGGAAAAAGAGACAGTACTGGTTCTACGGTGCTGGGGGCACTCAGCTGCACTACGCACTCTGTCACTCTGAGCTGAGCGCCTGTCCCTGGCTCTCAAGGTCCCTACTCACTCCCTCTGTTTGATTTCTCTTTTTCTCAGCATCTTCTGGCTGTTGCACAAGGGCCCACAGCCAGCCCCTGCCCTTCTCCTGATTGTAATTCCTGGGCATCCAACTGTGTACCTCCAGTGACATGAGGGACAGCAGGACTGCATGCATCTGGAAATTTCCATGGGGCTCGCAGGGATGCTGTAGGCTTACAGGAACATGTGGGAGTCTGGGTGTCTGACCATGTCTAGGTTGGGTTTGTGTAAACCAGGCAGGGACAAGGGCGTGTACACGTGTGTACGTGCATGCCAGTGCCCAGCTCTGTGTCTGCCTGTGTTGTTAGCAAAGTTTCCTGATCAGGCTATCGGGAGTGGGAGTGGGTCCTGGGCAGCCCCTGCCTTTGTTTAGAGAAGCGACCAGGCCCATAGATAAAAGGACAATAACACCCGTGATCTACCCACCGTTGAATGCAGGGACATTTGAGCAGCACTTCTCCCACTTAGGAGTTCTGATTCAGTGGGTGGGTCAGGGAGCTCAGGTTGTGCATTCCCAAGAGCCAGTGCTGTGGCCTGAGACCACAATTTGATTCAAGTAACAAAGCTGTCAGGGTTTGCAGGATCCCGCCTGTAGCTTGGGCCCCAGAGCTTCAGAGATACAAGCTCTCCCTCCCGCTGCTGTCTTCACATCTGTTCCTGATCAAGTTTCTCCAAAAGTCTAGCTCTGTTTTCTCACTCCTTGCTGACTCCTCACCTGGGCTTACCTGTCTTGGGCTTTTAAGACTGCTGTTTTCAGGCTCATCTGAGAGCAACCCCCCTTTTTGATGGTACTGAGAATTGAACCCAGGGCCTCTCATGTGTTAGGCAGGTGCGCTACCACTGCACTACATCCCCAGTCCTTTTAAAAGTTTATCTTGACACAGGGTCTTGCTAGTTGCCCAAGCTGACTTCAGTCTTGTGATTCTCCTGCCTCAGCTTGTGAGTAGCTGGGATTAGAGGGTTGGGCCACCATGCCTGCGTCATCTAAGGACCTCTTAAAACATCTAGCTACTCTGAATTCTCTTATCATGGTCTTCAGAAAACCACAGGGGGCTTTGACCCTTCGATAGCCCACCTTCCCCCTTTTGCTCTTTTCCAAGCGCCCCATGACAGTGACTCCCAAATGCACAGCTCCGATTCAGCTTTCTCCCTGACCTCTAGATCACCTACCATCTGGCTGCTTGGAATATTCTCTTAGTTCCAACTCCAAACTGTGCACTGTGCCCCTGCCTGCCTGCGCCTTCTCCAGTATTTTTCCTCTCCCCATCCACGTCCTCCTTTGAGCCAGAGGACTCCACCTTGACATCTTCCTCAGCCCCCATGTCCCATCTGATGAGCTCTGCGGATACTAACTACTGGGCCTCCGATGTCTCCACTTTTGTCTGAAGCCCCACCGCCACCACCATCACCAGTTGGGCTCCTGCTTCTTGTGATCTGCTCTCCCTGGTAGTCAGAGGACATCTCAACATGCACATCGAAGCTGGGTATGGTGGCACCCACCTATAATCCCAGTGCTCTGGGAAGCTGAGGCAGGAGGATTGCAAGTTCAAGCCCAGCCTGGGCAACATAGCAATTTAGCAAGACCTTGTCTGAATTTTTAAAAATACAAAAAACATTTTTTAAGGGCTGGGGTTGTAGCTCATGGTAGAACATTTGCTTAGCGTGTCTGAGGCCCTGAGTTCAATCTCCAGTACCTGCTCCCCCAAAAAAGCAAATTGAGTCATGCTCTCCCCCTAACCTGCCACTTTAAACCATTCAAGATTTGTTGTTGCCCTTCACACAGAAGCAAGTCTAATGAAGGTCCTATGGGCCCAGCCCCTCTCTCCACCTGTTGTCTCCTTCTCTGCCCTCAGTACTGTTTGTAGCCCAAAAGTCACTTCCATGATTATGTGACGACAGTCAGCTCACTCACCTATCTGTGGGTCACTGGGGCAGGGACAGTGTCTCTAGATTACTGATGTTCCTCACCTGCACCTGGCATCGGAAAGCATCGAGGAGCCTACTGATTGGACAAAGCAAAGCCATTTTTGACATAAGCTGGGCCTGTGGGGCTGAGCTTCAGATAAGACAAAGGAATTGCTGTAAAGTTAGAGTTAGACATGATAATGGCATTGTAATGTTGTTTTTCAAAATGTCTTTATATGCTGGAGAGACATACTGAGGACTTCATAGGTGAAACATTGTGATGATTTGCTTCAAAAGACTCCAGCCAAAATTAAATAAATAAACTGAAATAAGCATTCAGAGAAGGAACAAAGAAATAAATAAACTCCATTCTGCTTGTCTGTTCCTGTTGATCGCTCTAGGGCCTGCAAGGATGCTGGCTGTCCCAGAGATGGGTCTGCAGGGGCTGTACATAGGTAAGACCCTGCCACCCTGTCCTGACCGCCACCCCGCTCCCCTGCACCAGGACCCACCACAGGCTGTGGCTGCTGGGAGCCGTTCTGGAAACGCATGCTCGCATGTGCAGGGTGGTTTGTGTGCTCAGGGTTGTGAATGTAGGTGTGTGCATACTTGCAGGGAGGGTCTTGTGCGCAGGTCTGTGTATTAAGTGTATGTATGGGAGTGTGTATATGTACAGGGTCTGCATGCACAAGCTGGATCTGATCACAGGACCTCTCTCTGTATATGAGTGGGTTTGTGTACATGCATGTGTGTAGGCAGGGTCTGTGTGCACAGGACTATATGCGTATGTGTGTATTTTGTGCAGGGCTGTGTGCACAGGACCCTGGATGAGTGTGTGTGTGTGTGTCTGTGGACACACTGGAGGATATGGCCTGCAGGTGGACCTCCTGTGTATAACCTCTGCGCATGCGCATCTGGCCTGGCCTGGGAGTGGCTCTGGGCCTGACAGGGGAGGGAGGCTGCTTGGCAGGAGGGACACTCCTCAGGAAGTCCATTCACAAAGACCTGGCGGGCTGGCCCTTCCTTCCTGCCTCCCTTCCCAGGCTCAAGTCACAGCAACATGGCCTTCAGGCTGGAACTGGTGGCAGTGCTGAGCCTGTGCTGGCTGAGTAGTAAAGGGGAGCCCTCAGAATGTGACCACCATGTCCCTGCCCCACTGGCATCCAGGCAGATTACAGCGCTGGCCGTGTACTTCCCAGAACCCTCGAATATGTTCCTGGGTTACCCCAAGGCCAGCGAGAGCTGAGGACCTGCCTAGGGTCACACACTAGCTGAGGTGTACGTGTGTTGGGACGCAGGGAACCAGACTTCCTAGTGCTTGGCCATCCTAGCCTCAGAGCTGGGATGAGGAGGCGCAGCCGTCCTCCTCCTGACTTCCCCAGGCAGCCAGCTGGGCCTGTTGGTGGCCCTTCTAGGGGTGGGGGAGGGGAGGCTCCATTAAGGCTGATTAGAACCATGTGGCCCATCTTTAGGGTAGCGGGGAGCAGCCCCACTTCTGGGCTGGCTCTCCCACCTCCCAGCCATTGTATCTATAACTTACTCTCCTCCTATGTCTTCACCTCCCACCCTCACCCCAGGAGCTCACCTGGCCCATCCCTCCTGCCCTTCTGTCCCCGGACTCAGTCTCCCCAGCACACAGCATTTCTTTGTCTCCTCCCTCCTCCACTGTGTGTGTGTCTGAGGGCTGCTGAGGTGGCAGTGAGCCCAGGACAAGGTGGCCTCAACCTAATGATGGGCCCTCAGTCTGTGCCCTGTCCCTCCCTCCGCATGTCCTTCCCACTGTGCTGGTCCCCCTGCCCCAGCAGGACCAATGGGGAACCTCCTAATGCCAGGTGAGGAGCCCAGCTGCCCTGATCATGCCAGGGTGACCTGCCCTCTCTTCTCTGCAGGCTCCAGCCCAGAGCGCTCCCCGGTGCCCAGCCCACCCAGCTCCCCGAGGACCCAGGAAAGCTGTGGCATTGCCCCCCTCACACCCTCACAGTCACCAGTAAGCTGGGTGAGGGGCTGGGGTGGTGGGTGACCTAGGTGATGTGGAGGAGGGTTGTGCCTTGCAGAGAGTGCTGGGCCTGGGCTGGGAAGGAGGAAACAGCAGGGGCAGGGGCAGGGGCAGGGGCAGGGGCAGGCCACCATGCTGCAAGTCCCATGCCCACCTAAAGGGTTAGCCTTAGGTGGCTTTGACCATAGGGTGACAGTTCTACTGAGAAGGTAAAAAGCCCTACATAACTGCCTCCCCACCCTCCAGCTCTGCAGAATGACATCCCAGGGCCAGAGCAGCTGGCCCGGCTGGGGCAAGTGGTGAGGGGAGCATGTGGTTTCCTTAGGTCTTTAGAGCCCTGGGGCCTCCTAGAGTTGCTTCCCCTTCTGCCAACCACAGCCCACCTTAATTCAAGCCATATCTGGGGGAAGGGAGGTGCACTGTTAAAAGCACTTAGGAAACTACTGGCTTGATGTTTCCAGGACATAGCCCCGCCTCCTGGGCCACCGCACTGGGATGGCCTTGCCCTGGGGATCCAGCCTGGACACGGTTGTTCTCCGGAAGCCCAGGGCTGCCCTGGGAGAAGGCAGGGACCACTGCCTGTACCGGGGCCTCTCCTGTCTGCCACAGCATCAGACAGTCTGATTTGTGTCACTGTGGCCACAAAGAGCAGAGGGCAAAGTACACACCGGTCCACATGCTGTAAAGCTACCCAGAAGACACAATTGCTCCCAGCTGGGTCCAGGCTGGAGGATGCTGTGAAGTTGGGGGTGGGAAGGCTGGGCTAGGCAGTCTGGGCAGAGGTGGGCAGAGAACCGGAAGCAGGAAAGCAACTATGAGAGCCTGAAACTGCCTGGGTGACCCAGACGGCTGGGGCCTTCTGAACAGTTGGCCTGTCCTGGAGCCTGGGAGGGATGGAGAGGGGAGCCCAGGGTGGCGGGCCTGGGCCAAGAGAGGGAGAGAGGAATGGTGCCCTGCTGGGGGTTGGCCACTTCCTGCTGGCTGCTTGCTGACTCCAGGTCTTGGATTTGCAGAAGCCAGAGGCCCGAGTTCCTCAGCAGGCCTCCTTCTCTGTGGTGGTCGCCATTGACTTCGGTACCACATCCAGTGGCTATGCCTTCAGCTTTGCCAGTGACCCGGAGTCCATCCACATGATGAGGTGATGACAGCTGGGCTGGAAGATTTGGGGTGGGACAGACTGGTCCCAGAAATAGTCACAGAGGCGAGGCATAGGGTCTCCTCAGAGTACCTTCCATCCCCAATCTGGGGCCCCCCACCGGGACAAAAGGTTGGAGGGTGGGCCGCAGGTCTGAGCCCCTCACCTCAGCTGGAGTGCTCCTTCCCTCCATAGACAACATCAAGCTTTATTTTTATCCTTTATTTATTTGTTTGTGATGCTGTGGCTCAAACCCAGGGCCTCAAGCATGCCAGGCAGCTGTTCTACTACTGAGCTACACACCGACCCCATGGTTTTATTTATTTTAAATTTTTGTTGGAATATAACAAACATGCAATAAAATACATAAATATCTTTGGGGGGTTACACACAAACATACACACATACGTGTGCATATATGTGTTTTGAAAACAAAGTGACCTATCGTACAACTTGCTTTTTTATTTTTTAATAAAAGGCCTTGGCCAAGACTCCGAGGCTTTGGTAATCCCTGTATTGTTCCAGTTTTAGTGTCCGTGCTGCCAAAGGGCTCACACAACTTGCAGTGCTGTTTGGCAGATGCTTTGTGTCCGGACATACACAGCTCCCTCTTTCCTCGGACTGTTCCCCAGTGCTCCTCAGCACAGACGAGTCTTAGTGTATCCCCTCCCCTCTTGGCAGTGTCTCAGGTTTGTTTTCCTCTCATTTTCACTGTACGAAAAGTGCTACAGTTAATGTCCTCTGAAAATTTATGCTGGGGTCTCTGTAGGGTCGATTTCTAGATGGAGATTTGCAGTTGTGATGTCAAATGACGAACAGGGAAATAAAAGTGCAAAGACTGACAAGACCCAGGGTTACTATGAAGAGAGGTTTGAGAAATTTCATTCTGATGTTGTTGGGTTTTGCTTGAGCTCTCCTTTTTTTAGTCCATTATTGTTACTATAATGAAATGCCTGCGGCAGGCTGCTGTGTAAAAACAAGAGATTCACTTTAATTCACAGTTCTTGTGAGTATAATTCTATAGTGATGCCAGGATCACATGACAAGAGACAGGAAATGTGTGTATCTGTATATGTCTGTCTGCTCTCCTTTTTTGAAATTCTTCTAAAATTTAAATTTTTCTTAGCCCACATTTGTGGTGCATAATGATCACTGTGTATAATGTGGGGAGCTGGTACATGTCACACATCTCAGTTCTTGTTATGTTCCTTTCCCCTCCCTTCCAGCTCCCTCCATCTCTTGGTTTCCTTCCCACTGCCAAAAGATCTGTCTCCCTATATCCTATTTCCTATATTTTACCTTACTTTTTATTTATATTCTGTGTTTCTCATATAAGAGAAACCATGTGATATGTAAGCTTGTGTGTCTGATTTTTTCCACTTAATATTATGGTCTCAAGGTGCATCTATTTTCCTACAAGTGACTCAAATTTATTCTTTATAGCCGAGTAGCATTCCATTGTGCATAAATACCATTCATCTGTTGATGGCCACATCGGCCACTTCGAAGCTTTAGCTGTTGTGAGTTGTGCTGCTATAAACAAGGGTATGCATGGAGCACTGTAATATGATCTCTTTAACTCAGGGCCTCCCTCTTCTTTTTTTTTCCTTGTCTAAGGGTGTTGTATTAGCCACGGAGAGAAAACAACAGTAAAGGGAGAAGGAGCAATCTAGTTATGTTAAAATGGGAACAAACGATCATGTTAACAGTAGAAGCCAGGACCTCCCTGTTCTTATAAAGCTACCAGGGATTCAGTAATACAGGCTTCAACTTAATGACTTTATTTTAGTCCTAATTACTTTCCAAAGGCCTCACCTCTAAACACTATAAATGAATTGTTTCTATCTTCTTAGTACTTTGCAGTAGGGATTAAACTTGCACACATGAAGACTTGGGGGCACCCAAACTATATATCTATACAAACTGTAGCAACTCCCCACTGGACCTCAGGTCCCTGATTCTTTGTATGCGTCTTACTGTGGCTTCATCCAGGAGGTGAAGCTACCGAAAGTCCCCAAATTCTCAGCCCAGACTGGAATAGGAGATACAGGGGGGCCTCGCCAGGGTCTGGGAGGCTGAGTGGAAGGGCATGGACAGAGACAGAAGTCGCTGCCCCAAAGATACATGGCACACAATCTTCAGGCCCTTGGATCAGTTTTTCCTTTCGTTGCAACCTCCACATGACAAGAGGTCACCAAGGTCGTGGACACTCAGCCCTCTCCAGGAGCTGCAGGCCATCCCAAATGACATGACCGTCAGCACACAGCTGTGGCCATGCTGGCCCCACAGTGGGACCAGGGACACATAAAGGGACACTTTCTCTGTCCTGTATAAGTGACAGTCACAGGAAATAAGTGGGGAACATCTTGGCCTCCTCCCAAACCTTCCTTCCCACCAGCCACCAAGCCCCCTCATTTCCGTGTCTCCCTGAAATCCCTGGAATACCCATTCTCTTCTCTCCATGACCACCAACCTGCCATAGTTCGGCCCCACCCTCTCATCTGGACCTCAGCAGTAGCCTCCTCCCTGGTTTGCCTGCTCTGTCCTCTCTTCCCCCAGTCTGTTCCGTATGAGGACCAAGCAGCCTTCCTTTCCAAAGGCAAATGTGGTCCTGACTCTGCACTCTCCTGCTTGAAATCCACCAAAGTAGAGGGCTCTGCTATGGCGTTTGATGTTTTTCGTTCTCTGTCCTTGGTGTTCTGGTGTTTTCTCTTGCTGCGTATTGAGCCAGTCTTGAGCTGGCTCCCCCTGCTCTTCCATCTCTAACCTTTTGCACTTGCTCTTCCTCTGCCTGAATTCTCAGTTCCTTCCCCCTGCGGGCTGCAGTGGTGAAGCTGGTCTGAAGGCATCCGGGCGTCGGAGAAGGCAGAGAAAAGAGGGAAAGACTTGGCGGGGTGTGAAGTGGGCAGGGAGGTCTAGGGGGACGTCCAGAAGCCCTGCAGAGGAGGTTGCGAATCTCTTTCAGGTGCTGGGCACCTGTCAGAAGGGCAGTCTTCTTGGGTATAGCTCCTGAGGTGTGTCAGCTAGAAACGGTCATGAAAGACACTGAATGAGCTTGGCCTTAGGGGACTGTGTCAAGGAGGGCAAAGTGGCGAGCGCTGGAGCGCCTGGGATTCTGGAGAGACGCATCATGAGGCCAGACCAAGCCAGTGGATGCTGTTCTGCTGCTTCAAGGAGAGTTCAAATGGTGCCTTTCCACGGAAAGGACAGAGCTCAGATGGGACCAGTGGCCCCATGGACAAAAAGGAGCCCATGACTAGCATTTATGAAAATTCAAGTGGGTGCCATTTGCTTGGTACAAGAACCCTAAAAGGTAGGTATTACTATTATTCCCACTGTATAGGTGAAAAGACTGAAGCGCAGGAAGGTTGTGCCCCGCCCCAGGTCACACAGCTAGCCCCAGAGCCAGCGTCCATCTTCATGAAGGGATGGTTGTCACTGACCCCACTTCCCTTGTCTCCGCAGGAAATGGGAGGGTGGGGATCCCGGCGTGGCCCACCAGAAGACCCCTACCTGCCTGCTGCTGACCCCAGAGGGCACCTTTCACAGTTTTGGCTATACTGCTCGAGATTACTACCACGACCTGGACCCTGAGGAGGCCCGGGACTGGCTCTACTTCGAGAAGTTCAAGATGAAGATCCATAGTGCCACTGTTAGCAATGTTCCGGGCAGGGCTCCGTCCAGAGAGCCAGGGCCAGGATGGGACCAAGCCTAGCCACCTTAATGGAGGGAGGGGCACAAAAGAGGGAAGAGAGGAAGGGCGCGGTGGCGGCGTGGCTAAGAGGCTATTGGGCCAGGGACTAGGATATGGGCAGGGCTCAGAAGTGGGGGCGCGGCTAAAATGGGCGGAACCCAGAGTGAGGCTGGGTGAGAGGGAGGTGGGGCTGAGGAGAGGCGCTGGAGCTAGGGAATGCAAATTGTGAGACTGGGGGGGGGGGAGGAGAAAGTTCAGGAGATGGGGTGATTTTAAGGAAGAGGTCATCAGGAAATCAGGGCAGAGCTATGGCCTCCTCCAGAGACACCCCGTGTCCCTGCCAGGATCTCACCTTGAAGACCCAGCTAGAGGCCGTAAATGGAAAGAAGATGCCAGCCCTGGAGGTGTTTGCCCATGCCCTACACTTCTTCAAGGAGCACGCCCTGCAGGTGTGCTGCTATCCCAACCCTGCCCACTGGGACAGATTCCCAGCCCCTCCTACGCCTGTCCTCTCCCTCTCCCCACCCCCGTCCATCAGCAGGTAGCCTCTAGTCTTGGCCAGAGGTCATCTTCCTAGTCCTCCCCTCCCCAAACCTGCCCCAGGCTACAGGGGTTCTTCCAGCCAAGCTGGGAATCCTCTCCTGAGGCTTAGCTCCTCTAGCTGCCCTCCAGGGCTGAAGATGCCCTGAGCCAGCTGTTCCCGCTTTGTTGGAGGGAACAAAATACCCAACACCCACCAGTTAAGGAAGGAAATGTTTATTCAGCTCACAGTTTGTGGAGGTTTCAATCCATAGTCAGCTGGCTCCAAGGCAGGGTGGCACTTGGCAGAGGGGCACCGCAGAGGAGAAAAACTTCGTGGCAGGCAAAAGGTTGCAAAGCAAGCAAGTGACAAGTGACCACAGCTCTTTCTATCCCTTATGCCTTACCCAGGCTACTCAGAGTGAGTAACATTCACAGCCCTAATCCTAGTGCCCTTGATCCTAGCATTGCAGGACGAATCAATCCCAGTGCCACACACTGTAGATCCAGCCACCTCTGAAAAAGGCCCATCTATGACTATGTGAGGCTTTGGTGGGGGGCATCTAGACACAAGCCATTACACCTGCCTGCCATCTCCTGCTGCAGGAACTGAGGGAGCAGTGCCCGTCACTGCCAGAGAAGGACACTGTGCGCTGGGTGTTGACGGTGCCCGCCATCTGGAAACAGCCAGCCAAGCAGTTCATGAGGGAGGCTGCCTACCTGGTGAGCACACGCTGGTGAGGGCCTGGGGATGGCCATACCCACACCTCTGACCACCCTGGGACCACAGTCCTTGCATAAAGGCCTCCAGTTCCTCTGCCCCCCACTTGAATTCTGGAGGATTGTTGCCACCAGGGAGGAAGTGGGTCTTATCAGATGGACAAGGGCATAGCCTACACCGGTGGGGCGACATCTTAAGTGGGGTTTCTTAGAAGCACAACCCAACATTCAGTCTTACAAGCATGAGATGGGTCTCAGGAGAAAGGGGAAGGAGGAATCAAGACAGGAGAGACAGCCGAGCAAGATGTGGTCCCTCGGAATGTTGCCTCTACCTGGTCCCTCGGGGAGCTCCTGAGGGAGAACTGTGTAGCACTGAGTTGGCTACGCTGAGGCAAGGGTCTGCATTAGTCTGTCACTGGTGGCAGGACGAGTGGGAGGGATGCCTGTCCAAGCGGGGTGGGTCCCCGTCAGCTGAGGGCAGCTGTCTGAAGAAGGAGCAGCTGTGAGCCAAGAGCAGCCAACACAGCAGCAGGCAGAGCACTGAGAACACCATGGTGACTGACATCAGTGCTTTAACGACACCCCCACCTCTGCCCCCACTGTTGTGGATTGCTGAACGGAGGGAAAGGATTCTGGCCAGTGTGTGCTGTCTTCCTACCCAAGACGCATGAAGGTCTGGAAGGAGAGGGGTGGAACTCAGGCACTACCCACTGCACTGGCACAGCCTCAGAGAGGAAGAATCATTCATTTCTTGGCCCTACCCCTGACACAGCCTAGCTCAGTGGTGGCGAATCTACTGCACACATGCCACAGCAGGCTGTTTGTATCGTTGAAAGCTAAAAGGTTCACCATCATTGCCCAGGACATCCCCAGCCTGCCTGTGGCCCCCTGGGGATTCTAGGGCCCCCAACACCTACATACCTATGGGCCAGGCATGACCCAGGAGCCAGGTCTGAACAGTATATTGCTTGTTCCTGGAAGGAGCTGGCCCCCTGCAGAGCCCAGGGCAAAAGCAGAGCTGTCCCAGCTGGAACAAACACCACCCATCTAGTGTCCCCTGGCCTGTTTACCTACTCTGCTTCCTCCCACACTATTCTCCGCTGTTAGCTCCAGAAGGACTGACTATGGACAGGAAGTCTCCATCACCACCCTTCTCCCCCTGCCCCACTGATCAGACTCTAGGAAACCCCACAAACCCTAAAGTACTTCCCAAAGGCATCCCCTGCCCTGGTTCAGGATATACCAGCTCCCAAGAGGTTCCCCTCCCTGCCCCGACCCACAACTGGCCTGTGTTGGTGCCTGGAATTTCACTGTTTCCTTCCTGCTATAGCAGATTCTCAGGAACAAAGTTCCCCTGGGAGTGGGGCGGCCTGTGGCCAGTGTCTGACACCAGCTTGGTGAGCCCAGTGAGGCCCCTGCCACCTCCTCTGATCCACCACACCCCACACTGTGCTTGAGTCTCTGCTAACACTGCAGTCAGTGCATAGCTGGCCAGCCCTGCTCCTGTGAGAAGACCTTGCTGCAGCCCCATCGTCTCTTCCTGCTGTCAATGTCTATGCCACGGCCTTCTCCTGCCTGGTCACAGGGAGGCTGTGAGGCTGCTCCAAATTTGCACAGCATGAAGGGCCCTGAGAGACCTAGCATGGGTGGGGTGTGACAAGTGACAGGGGAGGAAGCGGGAGCCCCCAGGCCTCAGGGTGTCATCTTAGATGTGACAACCTCTGGTGCTGCCCACCACCTATGCCCAGGCTGGCCTGGTGTCTCGAGAGAATGCAGAACAGCTACTCATCGCGCTGGAACCCGAGGCTGCCTCCGTGTACTGCCGGAAGCTGCGGCTGCACCAGCTTATGGACCTGAGTAGCAGAGCCCCAAGTGGTGGGCGACTGGGCGAGCGCCGGTCCATCGACTCCAGCTTCCGGCAGGGTGAGCTGCCCCAGGGGTGCTGTCCGGAGTGGGGCTTGGAGGCAGGACAGTGAGGTCAAGAGCTACCATGTTCAACTCCATCAGCTCTGACCCTTGCAGGGTCAGAGAGGCAGGGGGGCTGAAGGCTCAGCCATGTCCAGGGTGCAGGGGAGAAGGCCCCATCGAGGGGGCAGCAAGTCTCTGGTGGAGGGAGGCACAGCCCTGGTCAGGGGGACCCTGGGATGAGGGGGCCACAACACAGCCTTGACCTGAGACGCCCCACCCTAGGGCAGAGATTTTGCCTAGGGGAGCCCCATCGGAGGGTGGGGCAGCCTCAGCCTGCCCTAGCATGTGGTGCTGAGGTGAGCACTGACAAAGGAGGAAATGAGGGTGCACTCCATCTTCCCTTAAACAGTGGCTGCCTCAGCTGTTGTCCCCACCAGCCCTTCTGTCCCCACCATCCCTGCGCTCCTGCTGCCAGAACTAGGTATACAGGCCAAAGACATCTATGAACAACCTGGACCATCTTCCCAAATGCCGTCTCCCATGACAGGCAGGAGCTGTCCCACCCCGCCCGCCGAGCCTCCCCCACCCAACCCAGCTCCACCAAACCCTTCTAAGCCTGATTTTGCTGAGGCCTGCTCTCTCCTGGGTTAAGGTCCTGTGTCCAGAAGTACCTCTTCCTAGCTGTTAGATACAGTGCCTGGGCTTTGGGGTGACCACTGCCTTCTCAACTGGTATAGGAGTTTCAGGAGCACTGGCTACTCTAGGCGCCCTGGGAGGCTTTGGCGGGGAGGATGGAGTTGAACATGGTAGCTCCTGACCTCACTGTCCTGCTGTCCCCAATTCCAGCCCGTGAGCAACTGCGAAGGTCCCGCCACAGCCGCACATTCCTGGTGGAGTCCGGCGTGGGAGAGCTGTGGGCCGAGATGCAAGCAGGTGGGAGAGAAGGTGGAGGCATTTTTCTCTGGCCCTGCTGATAACCATATACTGATGGGGGAAGGGCACACTGCCTAAACCCACCCCTTCCTCTTCCATCGCTGTATCTAACCTGGAAGTCCCCTCACAGTCACCTGCCTCCCCACTTCACTCAGAGCCGCTCCCCTAACTCCTACTCCTCCGAGGGATTCTCTAGACACGGGAAAGACATTGCAGAACCTCTGCAGCCATGGTGTACCTGTTTGGGGGCCTGAGAATCAAGCACCCAAAGGCACGCGCGAGCACGCGCGCGCGCGCGCGCACACACACACACACACACACACACACACACACGGCACGCGTGTGCGCGTGCGCACGCATAGGGTTTGGGATCTGGGGCAGGGCGGGAGGCTGGGCGAGGGTAGAAAGGACGCAGGGTGGAGAGCTCGAGCAGGCCCTGAGTGCCTGAGCTGGCCGCCGCAGGGGACCGCTACATGGTGGCAGACTGTGGGGGAGGCACTGTGGACCTGACCGTGCACCAGCTGGAGCAGCCCCATGGCACCCTGAAGGAGCTCTACAAGGCATCTGGTGAGTAGCCGGGCAGCAGCCTTGTTACCCGGCGCAGTCCAGCCCCGCAGCGCCCCCTGGCGGCCGAGTGTCCCGACTCCCTCTCCACTTCCCACCCCCCTCTCCACCTCCCACCCCACTGCAGGAGGCCCCTACGGCGCGGTGGGCGTGGACTTGGCCTTTGAGCAGTTACTCTGCCGCATCTTCGGTGAGGACTTCATCTCCACCTTCAAAAGGCAACGACCAGCAGCCTGGGTGGATCTGACCATCGCCTTCGAGGCCCGCAAACGCACAGCTGGCCCGCACCGGGCGGGGGCGCTCAACATCTCGCTGCCTTTCTCCTTCATTGACTTCTACCGCAAGCAGCGAGGCCACAACGTGGAGACGGCTCTGCGCAGGAGCAGGTGGGCCCAGAGCCGGGGTTCAGGGCTTGAGGCTGGGTTTGTGGATGGGAAACGTCAGGGCAAGGAGGGCCCCCCAGGGGGCGGTGGAGGTCCACCTGATCGGTTACACACACAGACATACAACGTGGTTGTGGGGAGTGCCCAGGAGGCAGGTTCGAGTCTAACCTGGACAAAGCCAATCTCGGGATGTGTATCTTCTCCCTGCCGCACCAGGCCACCCTGCCCGCCAGTGCTTCTTGGGTCCTCTGAGCCAAGGAAAGGGGAAGCTCCTCTCCTGCGACCTCATGCTAGGACTGGAGCAGGCTGTGGAATCGGGTGGGGATAAGGGTCAACATGCAGCTAGTCCACCCTGCACACAGCGCACAGGCAGCACTGAGCATACCTCAAGGCAGGGGCAGGAAATGAGCAGACTCCAAGCTGCGGCAAACAGCTAGACCCCGACCTACAGACACCTGTGTCCCCTTTGCCACCTGCAGTGTGAACTTCGTGAAGTGGTCCTCCCAGGGGATGCTTCGGATGTCTTGTGAGGCCATGAACGAGCTTTTTCAGCCCACGGTCAGTGGGATCATCCAGCACATAGGTGAGTGCCTGGGCTCAGGTTCTCTGGTTGCCCCACTAGAGAATAATTCCTCTTGTCAGGGCTGGAACACAGCCACACATCCGTCCACTAGGATGAGACTCAGCGTCATCTGAAGCGCCGGGAGCATGCAGTGTGGCTGTGATTAAGAGCTACAAGGATAATGGGAAGTCTTGCCAGGTTACAAAACCTCTAGTGCCTCCGTTCCCCATTAGTTAAATGGGGTGATAGCAATGGGTTCCCCCAGATGCTATCATGAGGGTGAATGAGCTGACCTGTCTAGTGGGCATGCTGTCTTGCATAGTGTGTAGGCGGTTGATACTGTAAATGCACTCCATGGGGTGGTGGGAAATAAGGGGTTTAGGGAATGGAGTGTTGGTGGTGAGGACTGCGAGGTGACCCTCAGTCTGTATTCCGTATCAGGAAGTGGTTCACGTGGCGAGGTGTTAGTTGCCAAAAAAATACGTGTGGGGGAAGTAGACTCACCAATCACTCCTCTCTCCTACCCTTCTCATCCCCCCACTCCCTGCCCGGCCCGCAGAGGCGCTGCTGGAGCGGCCCGAGGTGCAGGGCGTGAAGCTGCTGTTCCTGGTGGGCGGCTTCGCAGAGTCGGCCGTGCTGCAGCACGCAGTGCAGGCGGCTCTGGGCCCCCGCGGCCTGCGCGTTGTGGTCCCACACGACGTCAGCCTCACCATTCTCAAGGGCGCAGTGCTCTTCGGCCAGGCGCCCGGCGTGGTGCGGGTGCGCCGCTCGCCGCTCACCTACGGCGTGGGCGTGCTCAACCGCTTTGTGGCCGGGCGCCATCCGCCAGACAAGCTGCTCGTGCGCGATGGCCGTCGCTGGTGCACCGATGTCTTCGAACGCTTCGTAGCCGCCGAGCAGTCAGTGGCCCTGGGCGAAGAGGTGCGCCGCAGCTACTGCCCAGCGCGCCCGGGCCAGCGGCGCGTGCTCATCAACCTGTACTGCTGCGCGGCCGAGGACGCGCGCTTCATCACCGACCCGGGCGTGCGCAAGTGCGGCGCGCTCAGCCTGGAGCTCGAGCCTGCCGAGGGCGGCTCGGACGGCACCGGTGCATCCCCCAGCCGCCGCGAGATCCGTGCCGCCATGCAGTTTGGTGACACTGAGATTAAGGTCACCGCCATCGATGTCAGCACCAATCGCTCTGTGCGCGCCGCTATTGACTTTCTTTCCCACTGACGGCGCGGCGGAGCAGTGCCAAACCACCCTCGGCCGGGCCCCGCCCTCTTCCGGAGTTCGGGCCTGGGAAGCCGGATAGGGATGGACGATGCACTAGTTCAAATGTCAGCCCTTTTGAGTCGTCCAGCCGGAGAGAGATGAGGTCAAGGGAGGGAGGGTGGGCACACATGGAGACTCGCTTTGGGATTGGGCCTTGGTCTATAGACCGGAAGGGCTCCCGCCAAGAACCACCGGAAAGGGAGAATTCTGTGAAGAGTTTTGCAAGAGGGCACACTCAGCCTGGTGGAGGGTGTGTGACACCGGAGGGAGAAGACAGCAGAAGAGAACCCTAAACTGAGGGTTGTAGGGCCAAGCCAAGCGAAGCAGGCTGCGGAACCGAGGTTGTCTAGGGCGTGGACCTGAAGAGCTGAGCTCGGATGGATGGGCTCCTGTCATAAAGAAGCCAAGAAGCGCAACTGCATGTCGCAGGGAAACAGCAAGTGGAAACTAGGACAAGGGTAGGAGCACTTTCCTGGATGTGGTGCTGGCGACATGAGGATGACTTTTAACTGCAGAAGGGCAGCACCTGACTAATGGGGAGGGTGTGTTACCTTGGTGAAGGCGGTTTGGAGAGGACTCAGGCGGAGCATGCCCCAAGGGCAGCCTATGAGCCACCCCCTTGCCCCTCAGCCGAGCCACTCAAGGGCTGCTGGGGGAGAGCAGGCGGGGCAGAGGGAGCACTGGGGGATGGCCCCAGCTCTGCCACTGACTCCATGTGCTCTCAGGAGGGTCCCTGACCACCTGTGGGCCTCAGTTTCCCCAAATGTGAAATGTCACTCTCCTCCAAAGTGTCAGCCCCACCTTCCTGAAAACTCATCCTAAGGTGACAATAAAGTATGTACGCTCAAGGGGAAGCCATGGCCTGCTGGCTTGCACAAGTGGAGCCCTCAGTAGTGCCCGTCCTATCGGAGGAACACAGCTGGAGAAAGGAAAAAATGTTCAGTGGCACAGGGCTGGGAACCCGCCAGAAGGGGGTGCTACTGCCTCCCTGTCAAGGATCCCAAACAACTAACTCCCCACTCTTTGAGACTCCCTCCCTGGCCAGGCAGGAGGCCCCTCTCCATCCACACCAACTGCTGCAGCGCCAAGTCCCACACCTCATGTCACGCCTGTGCATACCTCTTCTGGGCTAGGCGCTACAACTCCATGCCATGCCCTTGCCTCCTGAAAAAACAAGTTATCTAAGTCTTTCCTTAGTCCTCCGCCTGCTAAGGGACCCCAGAGAAAACACCCACTGGCCTCCGGTATCCACTGAAGTTTTATTTCTTCAGGTTTCTATCCCAACCAGTTGCTTAAAAACCCAGTATCACAGACCTGAGGGGTAGGGGCTGGGAGCTGCACCCCCTCCTCCTCACATGGTCAGCGGGGAACGCGAGGGGCAGGAGAGGGCTGAGGCAGAGCGGCAGCAGCAATGGGGCAACGGCATCACAAGCCACTCCATCCTCTCCCAGACCCCAGCTGAAGCCCCTGCAGCTTGGGGTGGACAGGAGGTAGGACCCACCCCAGGCCCTCACCCTCCCCTCCTCAGATAGCCTCCTTGGGGGCTCAACCCATTTCTTGCGGCAGGAGACTGAGGCACACGGAGAGGAGGAGGTGGGAGAGGAAGTCGCAGGAGAGGCAGGGTGGTGGCACAAATGAAGGCAGAGGTGAGAGGTGTCGGCGTGGGCGCAGCTGGGTCTTGGAGGCCAGGGGACACTCCACCCCACGCACACCCAGGAGGGGTGAGGAAGCCACACCATCACGCAGCAAGTTGGAGACGCGGCGGGGTTAAGGCTGAGGGGCCAGGCAGCCGCGGGGCTCAGTCGAAGCCATGCCAGTCACTGTGCTCCGAGTCGTACTCTAACTCAGCGCCCACGCACTTGACACCATCCAGCAGCATGGGGGTGCCGTGGTGCCGGTCTGCAAGGTGGGGATGCAAGTCAGTGTGCCTGGTGCGTCTGCAGGTGCACTCCATGAGGGCTGCCCCAGGGACTGGCTTAGAATGGGGACAACTCCACAAGGAGGTTAGGACCACAGCCAGGCAAGCATCCTTCCCCCAGCCAGACCCACACGCCCTCTCACTCACCCATGACGCGCGCCTGCACCGTCACGCGCACGCAAGCACCTGTGCCGCCCTCACAGGCCAGCAGCATCTCCTCTTTGAGGACTCCTTCCTTGTGAGCAGAATACTCACACTTGACACTGTAACCTGCCAGGAACAGGAACTGCAGATGATCAGCAACCCCCATGTCTTCCCAGTTCTGACCCAGCAGATTGGCTCCTGCCCTACCCTCCTAAAGAAAGGAATTCGAGAGACCCATCCTGCAAGGTGGACGCAAGGTAAGGCTGAGCAACCCTCCGTCTTCACAGAGCTGACCGTGCCGCAGGCCCTAGGCCAGCCCAGCATGAAGCCAAGCGTGAGACGAGCACAAAGGCAGGCTTCCAAGGAAAAGGCCAGCTCCCTCCACACAGGAAAACAGGGAGAAGGGTGATGGAGAACAAGGGAGCAAGCAGGCCAGGCTTTGAGTGGATCAGGTGGCAAGAGGCAAGGCGAAGCCCTCAGGGGTCTTGCTCAGTCCAGTGAAGATCATGAGAGGTGGGGTGGGAACATGAAACTGAGGCTGGGGCTGCCTGCCTCCGAAGTGACACCACAGGCTCTGCCGGCTGGGGCCAGGGTAGGCCCTGCAGCCAGCTGGGTAAGCAGAAGCAGCCTGAAGTCCAGGGGCCACAGTAGGTTTTCTTGGGCAGGTGGAAGGGAGTTCCTCTGTGGCTCCCATCATAGTGTCCTCTGCTGAGGAGACCATCAGACACTGTGCAGACAGGAGTTCACGGACTTCTGCCCAGGAAAGCAGGCTGGGGCATGGAGCAGCCAAGCTGCCACACTGCAAGCTCATAAAGAGGTGCCATGTCCCTGAATGAGAGCATCCCACCCTCTCCCTCCCACTCACACCTGGGACCTGCTGGAGGAGGGCTGGCCTCCAGCACCCCAGACAGGCACGCACCTTCAGGGACGGGCACGACACTGAGGAGCTTGAGGTGCAGGCTGGGAATGGGTGCCTCCCGGATGTCCTTGCTCAGCCTGCGCACCGGGGGCAGAGTGAAGGTAATCTCGTATTTGTGCAGGATCTTCAGGAAGCCAACCTGCAGAAGGAAGGGGAAGGGAGAGGCACCTTCACTTACTGCTTCACCCAGGGCCATGTGGGCCATGCCACCTATGCGCCTTGTTGGCCCAGAACCTGTTTCCCTGGGAGTCACTCCAGCTGACCCATACCCGTAGCTGATGGCTCCAGCCTGATGGTGGCCCTTCCCCTGAAGGCCGCCCAATCCTCAGCACCTGGTTCAGGGGCCCCATGGTCCACAGAGGACTACTTCATAGATAAAAACATGGGAGCCGGGAAATAACTGGCTGTAGGCCACATCGTGTGACCAGGGAGAAGTCTTCCCTAGACCCCCTGGCCATTCCTGCCATGTGTGACACCCAGCAGCTCACCACAGCCCACAGGGAAGCTCACAGTCCCACGGTGCAGGTCATCCACCTGCTCCCACCACTACGAGCACCTGTCAGAGCCAGTAACCCAGGGACAGAGTCAGGGACACTGGTCCTTCATCACTTATATGGAGACATCAGGCAACACAGCATAGGATGAGACTGGATGGAATTAGATAAATGGACGACAGGCTGAGCTATAGCTCAGTGACAGAGCTTGTGCTCAGCATATGTGAATACGCTAAAGAAACACTGAAGAAAAAAAACCAGACACTAGACCAGCTGTGTCAGTCCATAGCTGCCCACAAGCCTCTCAACAGCCACTGAACCTGGACTCTCGCCTGCCTGCTGGCACGTCATGATGGATGCCTGCCTTCCCACTCAGAGGCTCCATGCCCAGCAGCCCCTGCCCGAGGAATTTCTGTTGTTCATTCACAGTGCCTGGCAATCAACACTGTCCCTCTGGCATAGATGCCATCCTTGGAAACTTCAGTGGTGTGAAGGGTCACAAGTTGAGGTGGCTGCTGGTGGGTGACTGCTGGTCCAGCAGGCATGGGGTACTGCTATATGCCACCTTTCATGGGCACATAGATTCTTGCTCAGTTATAGGAGCTAAAGTGCACCCCTCCCTGTGGGGGGCAGGTTGGGAATGGCGGTGTGGAGCTTTTAGCCTTCCAATTGGACCAGGGCGATGTCACCACATGATAAACTCTATCCATGCTCTGGTGAGGGACACCTCTCAAGAAGGCTTTCTGGTTGTACCTGCCCACTGTGACCCTATGGCCCAGCTGGACTGCTTGTAGGATTTGCCATAGGAAATACTCAGAGATGTGCAAAACAGTACTCATCAGCACCCTGACAGAGAAACAGAAACAACTGTAACATCCAGGACTAAGGAAGCAGCCAAGTCAATGATGATACATGTGATGGAATACCAGGCAGGTGCAGATGTGTGTGGAAAATTATTTTCTGACAGGAGTAGGAGACAGTTCACAATAGAAGCAAGCAAAAAAACCCAATGTGTCCAGCCAGGCATAGTGGCACATGCCTGTAATCCCAGCACTTGGAGGCTGAGGCAGGAGGATCACCCTGAGTTTGAGGCTAGCCTGGGCTGTATAGTGAGTTTAAGGCCAGCCTGAACTATACTGTGAGACCCTATGTCAAAAAACAAAACAAAATAAATGTGCCCAATGTTTTAGAAACAAAATTAAAAATACATAAAGAAAGAAAGAAAAAAAAGAAATCTGAAATGCCACACATCAAAATTTTAACCATCGATATGCCTGGATAGTATAACTGTGGCTACTTTTAATTTTTTTCTTCTTTCCAATTTTTCTTTTACTTATTTTTTGCTAGAAATAAAAGTCTAGGGCTTCATGCATGCTTGGCAGGTGCTCTACCACTGAACTACATCCTCGGCACCTTTATGTTTTTCTCTGTCTCCCAAATTTTCCGTAACTGACAAGAATAGATTCTGCAAGTGAGGAGGGACCTATTTTTTCAAGTTTTGGTTCATTCCATTTTCCCTTTGGGAAATCTGTCAGCTGTACAGAAAGAACGAAGATTTTAGAGTTAGACAGAAATGGATACAAACTTGAGCCCCTTTCTTTCCACTCCTCTCCTTCCCCGCCTTTCTCTCCCTCCCACCTTTTCCACTACTGGGGCTTGAACCCAGGCCTTCACATTGAACTATATCCCCAGCCTGTTTCTATTTTTTGTTCTGAGACAGCATCTCACTGAGTCACTAAGTTGCCCACCCTGGGCTCGAACTTGTAATCCTCCTGCCTCAGTCTCCCAGAGTGCTAAGATTATAGGTACGTGCTACTACACCCATCTTGGGTCTCTCTTTGGGCAGGCAGCAAGTCCCTCTTCAGGGCAGTCTCCATGGACTACACCTCTGTTCCCGACTACAGGTTACTCTACTCCAACTTTGTGGACCCCTGGCTTATTGACCAAGCTGAAGGCCTTAACCCCTGTTCTAATCCAGCTCCTCCAAAGAGCCCCTCCTGCCTCTTCCATGTGCATATGGGACTAAGAGAACCCTAACAGTTGGACGAGCCACACCAGCAGGTGTCTGGGGTATGACTAGGAGGAGACGGAAATGCTCCACCAAACAGAAATGGGGTAAGAGCTAGGGGTATAGCTCTATGACACAACAGGTACAAAAAAAAAAAAAATCCATGTGCAAAGCCCTGGATTCGATCCTCAGCACCAAAATAGAAAATGTGGGGGGATAAATACCACTACAAAGAAACTATATGAGCTGGAGATTTGGCAAAGAGTAAAAAGTCATAGCATGTTATCACCATAATTAGCTTCATATCTGTACCTACATATACCCTCCCGTTCTCACACCAGCTTTACGGGTATGAATTGTCAACTGGAGAGAAGAGAAACTGAGGTGACCTGCCCAAGGCCATAACGGTCTGCCTAGACCTGAACCCTGGCCTGTAGCACCACAACCTCAACACCAGCCTTCCACTAATACTGTCTAGGTGAGGCCAATGACAACAAGGGTTCTGAACTGATTCTCCCATTTTACAGATGGGGAAAGCTCAGGAAAGGGCAAAGATGTGCCCATGAACCCAGCCAAGAAAAGGGGACAGACCAGCCTGGGAGGCCAGGCAGGTGCAGAGAAGAGGAGGCGAGAGTGAGGTTGATGATGGAGGAGCTAGGCACATACCTTGACCAGAAAGCTGCTGTCACTCTCCTGGGTGACCATGACCACTGAGTCGTGCAGCTTCTCATCAAAGTGGACATGGCTGTGGGAGCCTTCTGAGTCATGGCCTGCCGCAAAGCGGATATTCCGGACTCTGGGTTTGTTGCCTGGGAAGAGTGGGAGAAGAATCTAGGGGCTGCTGGCTTCTCCCTCCCACAAGAAGCCACACTCCCTCACCCTTTCCCTGTCCCCAAACTATCCTTTAACATCACCCGCACTCTCAGGCCTAGGTGGACAATGGCAATCAGGAAGCCTGAGGTTCCCCATGCCCCTACCTGCCCAGTCCTACACAAAAGAGCCCACTCAAGTGTGGGCATGGGGGTACTCAGAGACTGAGTGATCTGAGCCCTCGTTGGGAGGCGGGGAGGTGGCGCCAGACAGGAAGACACTGCCTCCAGACAGATCTCTCCAAGCCCACGCCCTGCCCCCAGCTCTCCTGCACACTGCCAAGCTGCCATCCCTGGCACATCTATCAGTGCACGAGGCACCGGGCCATGCTTCCTGATGGCCCCAAACAACCTGGGCAGGGATGGGGACAGGCTCTAGGGGACCTGCTTGGAACCGGAGAAATAAAGGGGGTCAAGATGGTCACTCAGCCTACCCAGGCGAGGCTGCAGCTGCCAGTGGGGCTCACCCATCACTGGGAGGGAAGAAGGAAGAAGCTGGGAGCCTCTCAGCCCCTCCCTGCACTCTCTCCATTTGTTTGGCCTCCACCCTGGCTCTCAGCTGTCCTGCAGCTGGGCTGTCCATGAGCTCAGTTTGGCTCTCTGAGGGGATTGAGGCAGTCAGAGTGGTAGTGTTATGGTCTGGATCCCAAATGTCCCCCACAGGCTCATGTGTCGCAGGACTGATCGCCAGGTGACAGCACCAGTGGGAAGTGATGAAACTAGAGGTCCTGTAAGTCGCTGAGCCCCCGACGGGTACACTGGAGCCCCCACCTCCTCCTATCTCTGTTTCCTGGCTGCCATGAGGTGGGCAGCTTCTCTACCGTGCACTGCCTGCCATGATGTTCTGCCTCACCACAAGCCAAACAACAGAGCCGGTTATGGTTTATATCTAGATGCCCCCCCAAAGCCTCATATGCTCCATAGGTGGGGCTTTGGGGGCACAGGGGTGTGACACTCATCAGTGGATTAGTCGTCCACTGTTAAGTTTACAGCTAAATGTGATTTGGGAGGTACAGATGGATAGAAGAGGTTGGTCCCTGAGGGCATGGCCTGGAAGGATCTCCCCTCACCACCCCCATCTCTCTCTGCTTCCTACTGCCAGGCCATGAGCTCTTTCTCCTCTGCCATGTCCCGCTGCCATGCCACCATAGGAGCCAGCTGACTATAGACTGAAGCTTCTACAAACTATGAGGCAGAATAAACCTTTCTTCCTTTAACTTGTGCGTGTTGCGTATTGTGTCCCAATGACAAGGAAAGTAACTAAGATGGGCCAATAACCGAAATCTCAGACACTGTGAGCCAAATTATATCTTTCCTTCTTTTAAGTTGATTTCTCTCAGGTATTCTGTTACAGGAACAGAAAGCTGACTAACATAGCAGGGGATGGCAGGCTTGAGGCCTGGGCTGAATGGACACTCAGCTGGGGGAGGCCACAGGCACGACTTGAGACTTCTTGGACCCTCTGACCCCTAGGCTTGAGTCCTTGGATACTCTGCAGAGGCCCAGGAACTCCGTTAAGCCCCACAGACTAACCTTCAATTCTCACCATGTCTCCCTTGCCTATAACCCTGGATGAAGTCCAGATTCATTCATTAAGTCCTTTGGAGCCAGATTCATTCATTAAGTCCTTTGGAGCCTAAATGAAGTCAGATTTCCTCCATAGCCTGCTGTGCCCACCTCCCCAGCCTCAGTGCTTACCACATGGAAAGGAGGCTGGCATATGCAGACACCTCCAGAGATCAGCATATCGAGGAGCCAGTCAGAGTCCCTGCTAGGGCCTGAGGAACTCCCCCAAGGACCTGGTACAAATACTGGCATATTCCAAATTTTATATGCATGCATGTGCACACACACACACACAGGCACACAAGAGCTAAAGCCTGCCACACATGTGACAGTACCCCTCCCCCACCCACTGGAGGAGCTGTGTGACCGGCGCACCAGGAAGGCACTCACCCTTGTTGGCTGCAGCCATGGACGCCCTCCCTGCCACGGAGTGAGACACACAGCTCCTTCCGGACGCCGCCGCTCAAGCTCAGCAGCCTCCCATGCTCCAGGACACCAGCAGGAGCCTGAAGGACAGGGGGTGAGGAGAGCAGGGTCCAGGATCACCCAGAGCTTGTGGTCAGCAGAGAGGCTCCCTTTAGGATGACCCTCAGCAGCCCAAGTGGGGCCTACATCTTGTAGCACAGGGGCTTCTGCCCATGTCACCAAGAATGCTCGAGCCTGCCCAACACTCTACTGATCGGGGCTCTGCCAGCACACGCCGAGCTTCTGGGGACCAAAGTGGCAGCATAGGACTCCTATGCCCAGCCCACTTAAGGCTGGCAGGAAGAGCAGCCTGGAAAGAAGAGGGACCTTACAGGTATGTTTTATACACCTCATACAGCTGGGTGCAGGTCAACAGTGTGCGTGGGGGTGGGCGAGAGGAGGGGACCACATGCCATAAGCTTATCCCTGAAGCTTTCCCTCCTGGTGGCTGGTCAGGGCTGAAGACAGACCACAGCTCCCACCAGAGCCCCATTCAGGCCCAGGCCTGAGCCCGAGTCCCAGGGCCGCCTCAGTGCAGGAGTGCATATGAGGCGCCCTAGAAGCCTGCAACGGGCTGAGCCGGGCCCATCTCAGCATCCAAAACAATGATAAGCACAACCAATGGACACAGACGGAATACATAAAACCAGAGCATTGCAGGGGACAGAAACAGAAGAGGGAAAGCAAAACAAACCAACCCAGGCCTCATGTGTCACCACTGACAGCAGCAGTGCCCTAACTCTTTGCTCTGAAAAGTGGCAATTAAAGGAAGATAATTCAGCCTATCTCTCCCTTTCTTCTAAGTGAACTGCCCTGGTGTATGACAGAAAGCTCTTCTTTACAGAATATTTCTTGGTAGTAAACAACAAAATGAATACCAAGTCATTCCGCATCCCCTCAAAGAAACAAAGGCCGGAGGCAACAATAGTAGGTGGATGCTGAACCATGACAAAAGGTTGACAGGAAGTAGATACCCAGTGCCAGTGACATGACCTGGGGTTTGGTTTTGCTTTTATGGTATGGTGGATTGAACCCAGGACCTTCACAATGAGCTAGATCCCTAGCCCTTTTGTTTGCTTTGTTTTGTTTGTGAGAGGGTCTCTTATGTAACCCAGGCTGGTCTTCCCGCAACCCCAAGCTGGTCTTGAACTCATTATGTAGCCCAGGCTAGCCTTGAATGTGTGGCAATCCTCCTGCCTCAGCCTTACAAGTACTAGGATTATACCCTACCAACCCAGGCATGCACTACCTCACCTGGCCCCCAGCCTTTTTATCTTAGAGACAGGATCTTTTTTTTTTTTTTTTTTTTTTTCGTTTTTCTCTGGTACCGGGAACAGAACTCACGACCTTGCGCTTGCCAGGCAGGCGCTTTTGCCGCTGAGCTAAATCCCCAGCCCCCTAGAGACAGGATCTTGATAAACTGCCTGGCCTGGACTCAAATTCATGCTTCTCCTGCCTCTGCTTCCCAGACTGCTGGGATTACAGGGATGCACCACAACCCTAGTCTTATTTCTTTATTTTGAGACAGCTTCCCTATGTCACTGAATTGCGTAGGCTGGGCTTGAGCTTATGATCCTCCTACTTCAGCCTCCCACAGTGCTGTTTTCAGGGCTCTTTTCAGGTGTGTTCCACAGTATCTGCTGACCTGGTGTGCTTGAACAGCACAAGCTTGCAATGCATGGAGGTGACATTACGTGGCCACAGTGGCCGACCCCCTCTCCCTCACTGTAAGATGACCCGATACACTGATGCCTCCTGAGGGGAGGCAGCCCAAAGTCTCCATATCACCGACCAGGCATCCCTGCCAAAGACGCTTAACCAGGATCTCACCAAGCCTCCAACCCAGCTTCTCATTTACGGAAAGTTACAGAGGGTAGTAGAACCAACTAAATGACTGCAAGCAAGCAATGAGAGAAACCAGGAAGTCAGGGGATGCCACAGGACAGCTGACCCGCTTTTTTCAAAATGCAAGAAAAAAAGAAAGAAAAGGAAGGGAGAGTGTTCTAGATAGATAATCAGCAAACTACGCAGTCTGTGGGCCACTGCCTGTTTTTTTTCTGAATAAAGTTTCACTGGAACACAACTGTTCATTCATTTATAAGTTGTCTCTGACACCTTTTGCACTAAAACAAAACTACTCAGAGTAGTTGTAACAGAGACCATATGGCCTGCAAAATCTAAAATATTTACCATCCAGCCCTCTCAGAAAGTTTGCCAAATCCTATTCTAGATTAACACACACTTAAGGGACAAGAAGGCAAGAAAATCTAGGGGAAAACTGACCTGTTAGTTTTGGGGAGTTTTTGGTTTTTTGGTGTTTTTTAACCATATCTGCAAGAAGACAAAGAAGTGGAAGAGGAGGTTTCTAACTCCCTATAAAAACACCTTTTAGGGATACTGGGATATGTGAGTGGCCTGAATAGATGACACGAAGAAGTGAGTTTTGTTAGCTGAAGTAATGGGATTATACTAAGAAGTTATGTTCTTAGTTTTTCAGAGAAACACATTAAAGTGTTTAGAGATAAGTGACCCATAAGGGACCCTGGCCAGTCCTGAGAATGAAGAGAAACCACAGAGTGGCCTCAGTCAGGGGCTCAGCCTTTCCAGGACATGACCTCAAATCCTCTGGATGCCGAGTAGCCTTAGGAACACGTGTGATCTCATCTCCCTCCCAACTTCCCTAAGCCAGACAAGTCTACCTAGGCCCAATCTGCTTCCTGGACAAGGCACTGACAGTGTGAGTCCTGGGGCCTCTGGTAAAAGGCCTAGGGACCTGGCAGAAGAGCAAGCCTTGGAACACAGGAGTGGCTTCCCCAGAGGCCAGCTCCCAGGCCCCATGATTCAAGAAGGCAAAATGTACCCTCTTTACCTCTGCCTACGGCTGTTCTGAGTAGCTTATCTAGAGGAAGTTCGGCCTTGGAAAGCCGCCCACCCTAAACATCCCCTGAAGCTATGCACTTGGGACATGTGACAGATGGCCAAATGCAAGGGTGCCAGGCCTTCTTCTTTCCCTGCAGAGGCTGCTATACCACACTTATGCAGCCAGGGATCAGTGGTAGCTCAGTGGCCCCAAGGTTCCCCAGCCCCCAGGATACTTCCTGGATGCTAAGGTGAAACTCTTAACTAGTGGCTGGGCAGCAAAGGCTCTTAGGGCTCTTTTCACAAAACACTCCACCCAGTACCTCCAAGGTCTCTCCTTGTCTCCCCACACACACTACCTGGCCCCTGTCAGCTCCACCCAGCCCATCCTCTGTCCCCCCAAGCCACACATCTCAGTCTTAGCCCTGACATCTCCTTTTCAGAGAAGTGCTCCCATCCCACTCCAAATCCCAGGAAAGTCCTGAAATTCTTTAAAGGATCCCCTTTTTCACCTTCTGGGACCATTTGTTGATTATCTTCCCTACTTTAAGAGCACAGTGGTTGTGGTTTTCCCAAACCCTGCGTCCCTAGCACCCAGCATAGCACCTGACAGCATTTTTATACTTGTTGAGTGAATGAGTGACCACCCCTAAAAGAGCCTCCCAGGCAGATGTGGTCAGCACCCGCAATTCTCAAGATCTCTCTGCCTGCCTGTACCCATCTTGAGATGGAAAAGGCTACTGAAGGCAGGACCATGTCTCCTGCAGTGCCCGGAACTCAGGACAGAGCAATCACTCAGGAACTGTTGCAACCCTCTGTGAGAACACAGAATGGGGACGCAAGTGACTGCAGGGGCCCACAGGAAGGTGGAAAAACCAAAACTCGTTTTGCAACAGAGAATCTGCTTGTGGCTCTCCTGGGGGAGCCAGATTCTCATCCATACAAAATCTTCATTATAAGCAGGAAAAGAGGGCACCAGGCCTCCTCTGCTGCAGCACACTCACAGAGAGCTGCCTCGCCACCTTGCAAGCCTAGCGCGGCCCTACCTCTCCCCTGCTCCTGCACCAGCCAAGTCCTCACTATGGCCCAAGCTACAAGGTACCCCCCAAGGGGTAGCAGTCCTGGTTCAAATCCAGATTCTGCCCTTGCTGTCACTTCTTGACACTCCAGAGTAAGCAGTGGCCTTGTCTTCCCAAGTTTTGGTGCAGCTGTGCCTGAGGATCTTCGAAAATGTGTGCACCCCTCTACCCTCCTACCATGACCCCCGCAAGCAGAGCCCCAAGGGCCTGGTTTCTAAAGCAACAGCAATTTCACTGGAAGAGAGGCACAGAAGGAGAGCCACTTCAGGTCAGCCCTGGAGGAGCCAGGAGTGGCCCTCAGAGTAAGCTCTAGGGACTTCAGCTTCTGAGAAAATAGCTCAAGGGCTAAGAGGATCTCTGTCCTACTCACCCCCCTCCTTTTACTCCCAGGGCAGCTAGGCCCTGAGGGAGGAACAGAGAGCAGACTGTGGGGAGCTCTCTGCCCACCCCCTCCCCCAACCAGAAGGGCTCAAAAGTGTGGAAAAACGTATCTTGTCTCCCTCTCTACCTTAGATGGCTATCAATAAGTCAGGGGGAGCCCCTGGAACATCACAGCGGGAAGAAGGCTGAAAAGCTAGGACAGGGCCTTGAGGACTTCTTTGGCATTTGGTTGCTCTCGGAGAAACTGGGGGACCTTCTCTCCAGGAAACAGAAAGCTGATGGCTCAGGCTCCTCTTGGCTTTGGAAAAGGCCGCTTTGAGGCTACCCTACCCAAGGCCTCGCACGTGGAGAGGCAGCTAGATGGCAACCCAGGGACCCAGCATTCTCAGCACCCTAGAGTCCTGCCCCCCAGAGTGCTGGATGCTACTCCAGGCTGCTCTAAGAAGATCCCAACCTCCATACTACACAAAGGCCAAAAACACTTGATGCACGGCAAAGCGTTGCTCCTGAACCTGCCACTCCCTTGCCACCCAGTCCACACCACCTCTCTATCTCAGAGGCAGCCCTCAAACCCCATAGGCATCATGGGGCCAGCTCCATCAGCTTCCTCTGCTATTTGGCTGGGGTCATGTCCCCAACCTCTTAGAGACTCATTTCTCAATTACTCTTCAATTCCCATTCTCAGCCTGGCTAGAAACCTTTCTCTGTGTGAGGCCAGAAAAACAACATTTTACTCTTCCTCCCACTTCCTTCCCCTACGCCCATCCCAGGGCTCAAAACACTCAGTTCAGCAGAAACCACCCCAGCCTCTCATTAAATCCCAAGCCTGTAAAAAGAACACCCTCTGACGCTCGAGATAGGGCCACGCTTGCCAGCTGCCACCCAGAACCTGACTTGGGACTGGACACACAGCAGGACCACATACTTACAGCAGGATAAGGCTGGCAGTCAGGTCTGGGAGCAGCAACTCAGCCTTGACCTGGCTTCATTTCTTCCTGCCTCCAGCAAAGGGCCGAGGATAGGTATGGGTGTTTTTTCCCTCAGAAACAGTGTGTGCTGGGCAGCCAGGTGAAGTGGGGAAAAGGCCCCTTCCACCTCTGCGGTCTCCCCAACTAGTGCTGCCCGCTCAGCATCCTGTCCCCACACTCCGCCTGCCCTCAGCTCGAGGGTCCTGAGAGTCCTCTAGCCTCCAGATGGCCTGCCCCAACCGACCCCACCCTGGGCCGGCACGCCTAAGAAGCAGAAGTCAATCTGGATTCAGGGGGTGACAGCTGCCCCAACCTTCTTCAGCTTCCCGCAGTAATGTACTATAACCACTTCCCAATGCCAAGATTCAGGAGGAAAGGCAAGCTGAGGCGCCCTTTTCAGTCTAACAGAGCCCTGCTCACTAATAGGTGCACTGGTCCGGAACCTAAATCAAATCATTTCTGCAGCGTGACAGTGAGGAGGCGGCAGCCAAGTTCTCAGAGGCCCAGGTGAGGAATTCTGTGCCCTTTCTTGCCCACATCCCCGTGGGTGTGGCATTTTAATCCCCACTCTATACTCGTGTACTCGGAGGACGTGCCCCGCCATACCCATCCCGAGCAGCAAGGCTGCTGCTGTTCCTCCGAGATAATCCCCTGCGCCCCTGCGCCCCCTTGCCTTCACCTCGGCTGACGCAGGAGCCTCCTGAGCCCGCACAACCAGACATCCACCGCCTTCCGCAGCGAGGGTGCTGAGGCACCAGAGGCGCAAAGATACTCGTCCAAGGTCACACAGCGAAGCGGAGCAAAGAGCGGGGATGCAGGGGAAGCGACACTGCTCCCATTACGCCCCCTTCATTGTGTCACTCGTGCCCCGCGACAGCGCCCAGCGGGAAACACCCCTGCTGCACCAGCTAACGGTCACCCAGGTCCCCAGAACTTGACATCCCTCATCCAGTACTGGGCAGTCCTCCAGGCCTGGGCCCGACAGCGGAGCCCCCAGCCCAAGTCGCCTGTCACAGCGGGTGGGGTCCCAGGCACCGACTGCTTAAAAGGGGGACGCGGTGAGGAGCGGAACCTCGGTGAGCGGAGGAGGGGGCACCGGGAGGCGGTGAGAGGAAAAGCAGTCTCACCTTGCGGGCGCACCCTGGGACCGGGCAGGGCAGGGACCACCGCGACGGTGGCAGCGGCGGCGGTGGCAGCCGGGGTTCAACGCCGAGCACCGGGAAAGGAGCCCCACGCCACGGCCACCCGCCTCAAGGCACGCCCCCGCCTCCGCCCATTGGTAGATCGGGGGGTGGGGCCAGGGCTGCTTCGGACGAATGAGCTGGATCCAGAGAACCGCCAACCAGCTACGAAGTACCTGCGTCACGTGCAGGGCACCGCGGCTGCGGCTGCGCACTGCAAGCCCATAACTTCCCCCGGCCTTGGGAGTTCTCGCGATGAAGGCTGCCGGTCTCCGGTTTTAGTCTGGGGCCAGAGTCCGACAGACAGGAGCGATAGGAGTGTTTCGGATAGGTCCCGCCCAACCCCGCTTTTGAGCGGGGGGTGGAGGGGGATTGAACCTCCGGCCTCCGCCTTAATTTGGGAGGGGCCTCCTTTGGGCCTAGCCCCCTCGCTTGGCCCTAAAATGGGACTGCGGGAGATAGGCGGAGCTGGGAAGTTGGCCTTTCTGCCTAGGCTTCCACGCCAGCGTCGAGCCACGCTAGTCCTAATAACTGACCAAACATCCTCCCTCTCTGCGACCCTTGGGTTTCGACTTCTCCCTTTTCCACCCCAACACCCTGCGTCAGAGAAAGTGCGCCTACGCGGACCAGGACGCGTCCTGGGAGCCCAGCCCGGCCCAGATAAGCATCAGAACAAAGAAGGCATGCGTGATGGGGGTTGGGAGAGCTTGTGCGGTCGACCCCGGGGACCGCAGCCTCTGCCCCCGGTCTCCATGGAGGCGGTCGTCAAGGCAGCGGGATGCGCCTAGTGCAGCCCCTCCCGGTGGGATGTGGGCTCTTCCACGTAACCTAGGAGCAGAGAGGCATGGCCGCGTGTCCTCAGAGGTTCGTGCCACAGCTCCGCCAGCCGGTCGAGGTACATCCCACCCCCATCTCTGCTGGTGGGGACAGTCTCCCCGAAGTGCCGAGAGGGAGGGCTCCCGAGCGCGCGGCGCCCTCCGACAGAATCAGGGGAGAGAGGGCTTGGGCGGCCGGGGACCCGCTGCTCTTCCAGAGCGCTGGGGTCGCAGACACAGAACGCCGCGTCTAGGCGTTCACTCTCCGCTGGATCCCTGTGGCCCCCGGCCCGTCTCCTGTCTCCGGTCTGTGCACTTGACAGATTAAATCTTTCTGAACTGTCTCCATTGCTTCCGCCCCTTGCTCCAAAGCTCTCTGCTACAGGACAGTCTCCAACGTTTTGAAAACTTTAACGGCGTTTCGGGTGAATTGTGCGCTCTCTGGTGTTTTGAGAAGAGCCTGCCCTGTGGCGAGGATATTGAAAGCTTTCCACGTTCTGTTCCCCAGTCACCCATCCCTGCCCACTCGTTGTTCGCTCCCACCATTCCAGGCACCCCATTATCTACCATCCCCCATGTATTTCATATCTGTTCTTGTCCACGTTGGTAGACAGTGGACCCAAAGTAGCCTGCAGATGTATTTTGTTTAGCCCACATAAGGCTTTTACCCCCGCATGAGGCTTTTCAATCCCACCCCACCCCTTCATCCGATTTCCAGGTTTCTTTTGAAATACCAGATCTAACGACATGGACTCACATTTCAGCCTAGCACCAAAGGCTTTCGCTAAATGGTAGTTGCCTTTTTAGAAGCACATCAATTTACCATAGTCCCTACCAAGCCCTATTTTTTATGTTTATTTTATCATCTGGCTCTGCAGACACGTATTTGATTTCATGTATCTTTATGCTACCTTCCCACCTGGAAAAACTTTCTCTAGTGTAGTGTGTTTTAAACACAAACTAGCTAATTGTCCACTGCCTACGGTCATTTCCTAATTGTTCACTCCTTTCAGCAAATGTTACTGTGCTAGGCTCTGTGGAGAAGACACCCACAAGCGTGTGAGGGGGACACCACACAAAAAAACTGTGGTCTCCTGGCCCTGCAAAAGATTCCTCATACTCCTAGACCCTGGGCAGTCTGGCTACCTGGGAGGACCTACAGTACAGAGGTTCCCATGCTGCTGATACCACATGTTCCCAGGGAAGGCAACAGATAGTACCAGGAGAAAGTCTGGGTAAAAGTTCTATGGCTGCCCCACTGCTGTTCAGTAGGCCTGTGCACCAAGAAGAGGGTATGCTGTGAGCATCACCAGAGATGCCCAGGCTAGCAGCACAAAAGGCCTTACCAAACCTAGAAGCCTGTAGTAAGGAAAGCCCTGGGCCCCTGCCTGCTTCCCTGGAGATGGAGGCAGCCGGGGAAAGAAGAGTAACTTTAAGTTAGAACAGATGGAGCACAAGGCAAACGCCCACTCCAGCTCCAAACACATAGTATTCTGGACTCTGCTAATTTTCTTCTTTTTTGACTGGGTCTCACTGTGTAGTTCAGGCGGGCCTTGAACTTGTACTGATTTGCCTGCCTCAGCTTCCCAAGTGCTGGCATTATAGGCCTACACCACCACACCTGGTTTGGACTCTATTTAATAAAAATTAAACTACAAACTCCCTGGAAAACTGCTTGGAGTATCTAATAAGACTGATAAATGCCAAACTTATTACAGAGTAATAACTCTCAATTATTTTTCACAAGACATGTATGTAAATATTTGTGGCAGCATTTATAATAGATGAACTGAAAATAAACTAAATGTACATCAACAATAAAACAAATAGAATGCAGTGTTCTTAAAGAGTAAGCTGGGCATGGTGGTGCAGAGACAAAAGGATAACCTCGAGGTCAAGGCCACTTTAAACTGTCTCAAAAAACCAAAAATAAATAAATAGCCTATAATCCCAGCACTCAGGAGGCTAAGGCAGGAGGATCATTGCAAGTTCAAGACCAGCCTGGGCTATAACGTGAGCTCAAGGCCAGCCTGAACTATATAGTGAGACCTTGTCTCAAAAAGACAAAAATAAAAAAATAAATGTGTTTTTTGGGTTTTTTTTTTTTTGACTGAAAGTTTTGGCCCATGACTGTTGAGCCTCACTGCTTTGGGGCCTGGTATGAGCAGCACTGTATCACAGCAGTGTGTGGTAAAGCCATCACCTCGTGGCCAGGATGCTAAAGAGAGAAAGGAGCTGGGGTCTCACTGTCCTCTTTAGGGACTGTCTCGGTTACTTTTCTCTTGTTACTGAGACAAAATATCTGATGCCCTGAATTAAGGAAGGAAAGGTTTACTTAAGCTCACAGTTTGGGAAGGATTCAGTCCATATTCGGCTGGCTCCAAGGCAGGGTGGCACATGGCAGAGGGCAACAGTTCATGGCGGCGGAAAACAGCAAAAGCAACAAGAGCAAAAAGGGAGGAATAAGAGCAAGCCTCTTTCCCTCCCTTATATTGTATGTAGGCTACCTGCCCCAGGGTGGGTGTAGCACTCACACCCAGAATCCAGCATTGGACCATGAATCAATCAAAACCTCTAGAAACCCACTCCATGACTGCATGAGGCTTTGGGGGGACATCTAGACACAAACCATAAAGGGGACACAACCCCAGTGACAAGAAGACTTCCCTCTTAAGGTGTCTACCACCTCCTAATAACCCTGGTGAGGGGACCATGCCTTTGAGGATATTAAATGCAGTGTGTTTGTACAATATTGTGGGTCAATGACAAAGACCTCTTGACTACATGGAACAACACAGATGATTCTCAGTGTCAAGCAAAAGAAGCCAGACACAAAAATAATATAGTACATGTTTTTTTGGTAAACATATGTATTCATTTAAGAATATATCTATAAATGGAATTGCTGGGACACAGCCATGGTAGCTTTATAATCTGAACTGCATGTCCCAAATTCCCTTTCATGTGTGTTTCCAATTAGGAGGGGTCACAGCAGACATTTTGTGTGAGATCTGAGGAAAAGCAGCAGCAATACTGGATTTGACATTTGTGAGCTCCAAGCAGGAGCTTTGCAGCCCACACACACCTCACTGACTTGGGGTAGCAGCGAGGCCTGTAAATGCTCTGCCTCTCCCTGGAGCCCTCTTCACTTCTCTTCCTCCTGGGTCCAATGACAAGGGGCAGCTCTCCTGCAGTCACTGAGATTGGAGGCGGTGAGTGCTGACATGAGTTCCAGTTTGTCCTTGATGCTTCCAGTCCATGTTCATAATTCTAGTCTATTCTGTCCCCTATCTTATGTCCATCTTCCCAACTCCCTGACCTACAAACTTGAAGCTCTACCCTTAGATTAAAAATCTATAACCTTACAGAGACTCTTGAACCAGCTCTGATAATTACCTGCAGTCAAATCGCTGGCAGAAATCCCTTCAACTTTTCTGATTGAACCTTTCCTGATACTGATAGCATAAGCATGCATTTAATTTTACAAGAAACTGCCAAGCTTTTCTGAACTGTTTGTTCTCATTTACATTCCCATTAGCTGCGTGTAACAGTTGCAGTTGCTTCACACCCTCACCAATATAAAAATCAGCAACAATATAAAAATAACCCAAGGTGTAAACCAAACAAAGCAAAGCAACAGGCCATTAGTCTTAGCCTCTGCTATGGACCATGGCTGTGGCTAGGACAATTTCCCAGTATCAAAAGATTACAAAGGCATGGGGTCCCAATGCGATGGGAGGCTGGAGAGAAAACGCTACAAAAAAATGGCTTTCGCCCCAGACGGCTCACTTGATTTTTGACAACCCTTAGGCTGTAACTACTTGTTAGATCCTTCTTGTGTATCTCTGTCTTCCTGAGAAACCACTTTGAAGATACCACCATGTATTACAGCAGTCATTGATATTTTCCTACTAATCTATCCATAACTCTGTAATGTTTGTATTGTTCCTATCCTATTTCATAAATGGATCAATGTTTATTATTATGTGTTTCCTACAACAACCATTGAGAATTATTGAATGATTTTCAGTAGGTCACTCATGTATAGTTCTATTATATTCTTTAGAAGCCACTTTGAAGATACCTAAGTATAGTACAACAACTATTGATAATCTCCTACCTCTTTTGTCTGTAACTCACTATCATTTGTCTATTTGTTTTCCTGAGAAACTATCTTGTAGATAAACAATATGTAAAACAATAACCATTGACAATTTCCTACCACTTTGTCTGT